CGTAAAAAAATGTTATCGTGGTTAAATCTTAACTCTGGTCAATTGCCCGATTGTCTGAATCTGAACTTTGGATTATGATAATTTACTGAACTGTGGATTGTGAAAATTTACTCTGGATCAGAGTTTTTGCATTATATGAAATTGGATTTTCTACATTTTGTGGCTTTACTTGACTTTCTAACTTTCAAATTTAATAAATTAAACAATATTTTTAGGTTAGGATTGGGATCGAAGATTTTAGAGAGCACTTGATCACATCTATTAAGTTTTTTGCTACATATCAAAGCTAAATTGCGGATTTTAATGAATCAAATGCTACATTTTCTGGGTAATAAGGTTTAAGCGAATATTAAAGAATTTTAAATTATTTATCGGCCTCATACAACTAGTTGGGTGGAAAAATTGCGCTACTCTCTCTCTCTCTCTCTCTCTCTCTCTCTCTCTCTCTCTCTCATTACTATACTTCAAATCTCATTTACAAATTGGCCTATAAATTTGTAATAATTTACTATTATATATACGCAATTTGTATTGATTGATGAAATTCCAGTGCAGATGGATGTTGTAATAATATTGACATCTTGCCAAGGTTAAAACTTAAATTATCACAATATGATAATCTAGTACACATAATTTTCACATATTGCATGAATCTGCCTAAGAATACAGGAAGTTAATTTGGAGTTATAGCTATCATTCCCTACGGTGGGACCCACGACTGAGATTGATGGCAGCTGACCTTTCTATTTTTTTTTTTATTTTTTTTTATTTTTAACGAGGTGTCCCAGCTTACGCCAAACTATATCCTCGTCCCTGAACTTCCGGCCCCTCAGCAGCTCAGGGAGGTAAATCGCGGGATGTGCCCAAGTTGACCAGGGTTCGAACAACCTTTATACTCCTGACCCCAAGGGAGCCTCCTTCATGGTTATTACATCACCAAACTGCTCCAACCCTTCCTCTGGTTATTACAACACTCAGCTGCTCCAACCAGGAATCGAACTCCCCACGCTGGGGTTGCGAGCCCCACACTGTCCTTCCTTTGCCAACTTGGATGGGCCCCGGGGGGCCAGCTGACCTTTCTATAATCCTATTCGACCGAAGGCTAACTATAAAATCAATCAAGCAACTCTTCAACAAAGAGAGAAACATACGAGCAAGTAGGTGTCTTGAGTCTCCATAGCTTTTCCGCCTCTCAAGTCTTAGTATGGGATAAGCTCTACAGCTCTGCCAGGTTGCAATCTTGCCTTCCAATGCAATTTATGTCATTCAAGTACATAGTGTATTTTAAAATCAATCTTAGTGTTAGAGATAGCCCATTCTGGGTATTAATAACTACGGGGACTAAATTTTTCGCTTCATGAAAACAATTGATGTAACATAATACAACTTTGTTATTACCGTTAACAAATTATAGCTGCAAGTGAGGTCACAATATGGGATGTTGATCCATATTTTACAGATGAATACATCCCTGATTACATAAACAACACATGAACCATACACGAAACAATCATGCTACATAAATATCAAAATTAACATAAAGTTTAACATAATGTCACGTGACATTCTATCATTGAACCATTTAAAACAGTCAATTTTGTATCCAATTATCTACTATTACATACAATTATGTCCAGCTTTTTGTCAAATCATTTCTGACAAAGTAGCTTTATCCTATACGAAATAATCACTATCAATGAAGTAAAGAACGTCCAACTAACCGGCTAAGGTACAAGAAAACCTACCAAGCATCCTTGTCAACGTGCTTAGATCACAATTATTGCACAGATCGAACCATATTGCTTGCCACAAAGTTGCAAGCAAGCTCTTGTAGTTTGATGAACATAAAACAAAATCAGGTAATTGTAATAGTGCAAAATCATGAAATGATACTGTAAGTGTTATACCCTAAGTTCAATCAATTTAGGTTGTAAACACTTTTAATATGTTTAATTCATTTATTTTGACAATATCTATTATTTATTTGAATCACTATTCTAAATAAATGATATTAAATAATAAAGTCCGTAGATTCAAGTTTTAGTGATTTATTAATTATAAGGAGTTGTGATTGTGAGATGCAAATTACGAATGATTGAATCTTAAATCATCCATGATAGTAAGTAATGACGAGATTCGGATATCGTTATTACGGATAGACCATCACGTGCGGCATTTCTTACTTGTAAAATAAGTAGCCGATCTCACAAGCTAAAGTGTGGTGATATTTAAATGAAAACGTGGATGTTTTGTTATAGAATAAAACATTGAAAACCCGCTGAGAGATTCCACATGATATGCGTGTCAACGATTAATTTCTAACATTCGGTAGTAAAATTGGTCATTTGACTTGAAGTCATCGTAGTGCCTCATATGAGGCAGTCATATTTTGCTGATGCTGGATGTTACTCTACCAATGGTCACTAATACGGTATTGTTCAGGTGTATCAAGAATCATATGAAGGTTATATATGATCAGTAGATGATTCATCACTATTAGATAGTAAGAGATTATGATTTACGTTTCATTCAGTTAAGTTGATAACGAAATTCTTGGCTAATGTGTACTCATAAGTTGAAGAGGTTTTCAACTTGTATTGATTTAATAGTGGAATGAAAAATATGATAAATAATTGAGATTGAGACATATTCATATCTCGTAATTGATCGAATTATATTGAGAAATGAATTATAGTTTCTCAGTAAATGAACATGTTTGGTTTCGTCATACCACGTGACATTTTTCGTTACACTAAGAGATATTTTTCGTCACATATATTGCCCTGACACATTGTTAGATGTTAATAAACGACAGATGTGAATTAGTAATGAATTAAAAGGGGTGCTTTATTTTATCTATTTTGATTAGATCAAAATAATAATTCACGTTAGGTATCGTGATTGAGAACCTAATGGGCCACACACAAAATAAGAACTAGAAAAATGAGATTTATCAATTAATTAATTAACATTTATTGGATAACTAATTAATTGAGTTGCTTATAAATAGACTCAAATTAATTAATTGGATTAATTAAATATTGGATCAGGTTAGGAAAATGAACAAACCGTTTGGGCATATGTAAATAAGTTGCTAGGGTTTGAAAATTGTAGAGAATTTTTTTAGTCTTGCTAGCACAGATAAGCAAAAACCTCGGTTTTCTCAATCTTGTTCCATATGTGGAGTTCCATTGGATGTGTGAGTTGCAGATCGAGATTGTTGAAACAAATGAAAAGCAAAGGAGCTTGCAGAATTCAACAAATGTATAATTTTTACCACAATCTTTATCTAAATACAAAACGGATCATTAGTGGGAATTGAAATATTGTTAAAATTTCGCTACGCATGATTAAGTAAATTTCGAACAGATACCATGTGTGAGAAACTACATACGTTCCAACTTGTAACAATACCATAACATAAGCCTGATCACCTACTGTCATATTGACCTGCACAGAGCAGGTCAACCTAGAAAGTTTCATATGCATGGGGGTACTAGTATATTATTCTCTGACATATCGATTGAAAGTGTTGATTAATGTAACCAGAAGCTAGTATCATGGAGAAAAAATTCTGCCTTCATGAGAAATGTAGTGAAGTAAAATCTCTCCGCTCCCAACCCCTATATGATTTATCAATTAATTAATTAACATTTATTGGATAACTAATTAATTGAGTTGCTTATAAATAGACTCAAATTAATTAATTGGATTAATTAAATATTGGATCAGGTTAGGAAAATGAACAAACCGTTTGGGCATATGTAAATAAGTTGCTAGGGTTTGAAAATTGTAGAGAATTTTTTTAGTCTTGCTAGCACAGATAAGCAAAAACCTCGATTTTCTCAATCTTGTTCCATATGTGGAGTTCCATTGGAGGTGTGAGTTGCAGATCGAGATTGTTGAAACAAATGAAAAGCAAAGGAGCTTGCAGAATTCAACAAATGTATAATTTTTACCATAATCTTTATCTAAATACAAAACAGATCATTAGTGGGAATTGAAATATTGTTAAAATTTCGCTACGCATGATTAAGTAAATTTCGAACAGATACCATGTGTGAGAAACTACATACGTTCCAACTTGTAACAATACCATAACATAAGCCTGATCACCTACTGTCATATTGACCTGCACAAAGCAGGTCAACCTAGAAAGTTTCATATGCATGGGGGTACTAGTATATTATTCTCTGACATATCGATTGAAAATGTTGATTAATGTAACCAGAAGCTAGTATCATGGAGAAAAAATTCTGCCTTCATGAGAAATGTAATGAAGTAAAATCTCTCCGCTCCCAACCCCTATACACATGGACCCTTTCTCCTCCGGACAAGGTTGAATGATAAGATGGACTAACTTATTCTTGATCTTCGAAAGCTCTGACAAATTTAATGATGATTGATTGAGGAAATTAATCCTAGCATATACTTAATCAAACTACATTGCTCAAACTGGAAATCGTTTCTTTGTCCTTGTTAGTGGACCCATATTTTCAAAAGAGCTCCATACAGGCAGAAAACTAAAGCTCCGTAATGAATGTGTATAACCATTTATACCCAAAAATATGAAATGCATATCTACATGCAAAAGTTTAGAGCCCATGTTGTAGAAAAAAAAATTAAGAAAAATGACTATTGTGGCTGTTGTAGAGTTAAATGTTTCAATGGCCACTGAATTTTAAACAATGTCACAGTTTACTCATCAAACTTTCAAAATTGTCCTATTAGCCACTGAATTTTACTCCATTAGTGTCTATTACTCATCGAGATGTTGATGTGGCGGACATAAATATGAGGTGGTCAGTTGACACTTTCAAGTGGTAAGTGGAGTGCCAAATTGAATCCTTATTATTGCCAAACACGCATTAACATATTGAGGAAATAAATGCGTCGTTTCCAGTTATAACCCAAACCCTAAACGCGATACCGAGAATCCCCAAATCAATTATCGAAGCTCTATCCCCAAAATCGATTGTAATCACTCCGAGAACGACGCAAGGAACCCAAAATCGATTGTAATATGTTGTTTGTTGGACCTAGCGACGCGCAATAAAGGTAAATTTCATCTGTTTTTGTAACCATTTCGAGGATAGAACGTTCTTCTTCAATTGTTTGAAATTTGGTATCTTTCGTAAATTATTGACTATTTCGTGAAAATAGCCTCTCCCTTGCCTAGTATCTTCGAAATTTTGGTCACAGGTGCATGTACTTTCTTCTTATTTGCTTAAATCCGTTTGATTTCAAGAATGAAATCTGGGTAGAAATACAATAAATTACAGAGAATTAAATTGCCTAAAACTTGTTTTCTTGAGAATTGTCAATTAATGTGTTTGATTGGAACAATTTTCTACCTAGAAAATATTGAAATTTTCTATCTTTTAGTGTTCGTTGGACTTTATTTTTTATGAAAATTTTCAATTAAAGGGACAAAAGTTTTTATAATTGAAGATAGAATTTGTTCCAATTGTCAAGAAAAAAAACCTGTCTGGAAAACCAATTCCCACCAAACCCACAAAACCAAGGAAATTGCATGTGTGGCCGTGTGGATGGAGGAAGGAAAATGAATTCCCTAGAAAATCATTGTAATCAAACAGGCCAAAAGATGGAAATGGAAAATGTCCATGGAAAATTGGCCTATCAAACAAGGCCTAAATTTTCTCATTTACAGGGGTTGCTTATGAGCGTGAGCTTTGTTCTCTAATGTAGGATAACATTCGTATTTTGTAGTTTTGTTATTCGTATCTCATACAATCTTGTTCATGATCTCTAATTTACTTGAGTTTATTATTTGTCTAATCTGCTGCTCGACTAAGACCAATCATAGAAGGAAGCTTCATGTACTGTTTGTATTTGTCATATAGAAGTAACTTTCTTGCATATATGTTCTTTTGCATGCTTTACATCAATTTTCCTTCTTTGATTTTCTTCCCATGTTATGAATCCAGCAAGCTGTCATTCCTCCATCACCTGCTAACTTAACCAATTGTGTTGATTTTAGATTCATTTTTGTCAGAGGAGACTGTTCAAAAGATTATGTCCGGTATGCACTAAATAACTCTTTAATTTCTTGTGATGACACTGAACTGTGTGCTTGTTCGAGCTGATTTGAGTGTTATTTCCCTTTATTGCTGGAAGCCAAATAAGTATTGATGATCTATCTGTCATGGAAAAGAAACGTTTCACGAGAGCTGTAACCTCAGGAGAGCTAAGCAAGTTGATCATGCCATGGGATCCATGGTGGCTGAAGCCTTCTGCCAAATCTATATTACTCACTCGGGATGGAGTCAACCTTGTCCAACCACTGTCCAGCAAGAACAAGTGGAATCATCAGAAAATGATATGGAAAGCAATCAGTTGTATGACGTTCCACCTTGCCCTGAAAACCCGTTATCACTAGATAGCAAGCATAATACTTCTGTACCGTCACCTCTATTAGCTTTTCACCTCATTGGCGTAATTTACAGTTACCGTTTTACCCTGCAGATGCCCTAGAATGAGCTATGGTCTTTCTTGGTGTGTCTTCTATCTTGGGTACAAGTGGATAACTTTTGAAAGTGTTGGAAGCTTTATTGCATTGCTTGGAACAAGCATCCTCTCCTGCATACAAGCGTATGAGTGGCTTAAAATTTGAATTAGGGCTGATGTAATAAGCCTTCTTTATCTTAAACGCGATGCCTTAATTTGCTTGCTTTCTGATGTGTAACCTTACTGAACCTGAATTATATAGCATGTTATTGATCAAATGGAGCAATGTTATGCCGGTGAACAAAAAAATGTGGAATTTGAGGGTGAGCCCATTGGTGGATCAAGGGCATTCCAAGTTGAAGATTTGTCTTGTATTTTGAAAACCGTTGCTAAAATCCTGAAAGCAGAGGACATCGAGATCTCTCTTAATATTACTATCCAAAAGGAAAAATGAGATATTGAAAAGAACGGGAATAGAAGGAAAGAGCTCCATAAAATGTTACTTAACTTTTTTGTTGCTTAAAACAAAGTTGATTGTAATTGTCATGGTGTACAAAGCTCACTGTAATCGTGAAGTGTTATCCAAGTATGCTCCCTTATTTATTTATTAACAAGTTTGAACAATGTAGACTGGCTTTTGTTTTTGAAAAGTTCGCTCTTGTTTCATTGTTTTTGGAAATTTGGAAAGTTTGCAAACCTTGTTATATGGCTCTTGTTCAATTGCTGTTGGTCTTCAGTATTAGTTCTACTTATTTGATTGCATCTAGTTTCTTCAAATCTCTTCAAATTGCATCAAGTTTAGCCACTGCAGCTGCATATTGAATAACAAACGTAGCAAGCAAGTTTCCAAGACATGAGTGCAGCTAAATATTACCAAAGCATCATTAAGTCAGAAAGTCGCCCTCTTTTATTTGTAGAGTCTCCCTTAAATACTCGTCTTGCAACTAATATTCTGCAAATTCGACACCAATGAAGATGCATACATTTGGGAGAATTGTAAACTCATAAACTACAGCACAGAGAGAGAGAGAGAGATGGAAGAAGATAGGAAAAGTGAACTATCAACGAACTTTTGGCAGGATTAGGAAAATCAGTAGGAATCAAATAAATAAGAGACTCGCAACATCCAAATCAAAATGAGCTTACAATGACTAACCAGTGAATCATGTCATACTGAACTTACGGGCTATAAAGATCTAATTATTGAACATACTGATGACTTCGAATCACTCTTCTTCAGACCCTTTCAAAAGTGGAGAACATGGATCATCCATTTGATAATTTAATTCCAAGAAACCACTCACTCATTGACAAACTATGAAATGACTATTAATAGAAATATTTACACATGCCATAACAAATTAAACACGAGCAGAGTATTTGAGCAGCTTGAATTATGATCAAAGTATACACACTAAAGAAACATGAAAAAGCAACTAGTGCAGTTATAAATCAGACAGCTGTCCTATATTTTAAAACCCACAAAAGAATTATCCTGGCAAATCAAACAAGCATCACACTTATCTTGAACACACAAGCTTTCTAAAAGGTTCAAAAGACAAAGCTAAATTAGTATCAAAATGAACTATATTGCATTGCAAATTAACTACAGCAGTGAAAGAAAGCTACCAATTGCCAAATTCTAGTATCCATTCAATGAGACCATTCAACATCCATCCACATAAATACAAAAGCAATTACTGGATACATAAAGCAAAATTCCAACGACCAAATGTTTGGGATGTATTTGGACAGAAAAACAAGAACATCGTGTCATGGTTGTGTATCATTCACCAAATACTGCTGACAATTTCCAGCAACATTACCAAAATACAAAAAACTATGGATAGTTTCCAGCAACATTACCAAAATACTATGGATAGAAAAAACTCGTTCATTGATGAAAATGATAAGGACTTTGGCTGCACGTCTGAGCCTAGATATTTGAGTGGAAGCGCAGAGAGTGAAGAGAATTCTTCCGATTTCTTAGAGGCACCAAGTCCTATTCAGGGAGCTAATGGTAATCAGAACGAATCAGAAAGTAGCATAGCATCAAACTTGTTCATTGATGAAAATGATCCCGATCCATGTAGGACCGATCTTCTATGGATAGTTTTTATGCTTTAGGACCAATCTTCTATCCATAGATATATGACACATCACCTAGACATTTACCAAAATGCAGATGCCCCCCGGGGTACAGCTCAATTGGTGGATCAATCAACATTTGTCTTGTTTCCAGCGGCAAGGTGGAGGTTCGAATCTTGGTGGGAACCTGCGGCCAGATTTATTTGGTATGAAGCAATCACTTTGGAGAAGGATCTCTTGTGCGCAGAAGTGTACAGGCGGTCGGGGGAACCTGTGATCCAGTTGAGGCATAACCCGCGATTTACCTCCTCCAAGGTTCTAGGGACAAGGATCTTTGGGGTCCAGGATTTGGTCTAGTGTAAGCTGGAATACCTGGATATTAAAAAAAAAAAAAAAAAAAAAAAAAAAACAAAAAAAAAAAAAAAAAAAAAAAAAAAAAAAGATATATGCATGCGGATGATATATCAGGACCATCATTGATGCGTATAGTTTCAACATATGCACCTACAACATTGATTCCACTAGCCCTGTACCAAAGTGAGGTAGGAATCGCCACCATTTCTAAATGGACAGCTGACGGTAAAAGCAGCCAGCTATTAGTAGCGGAGTTTTTTTTTTTTTTCAGGCATCATTTGTTTTGCCAAGGCTGAAGAGACTTTTATTGGAACATATTTCACACAAGGAATGATCAGTCAACGTCTAATGTATATTAATTGTGATTGAGAGGCATTTCAGAATGATTGATGACGGCATTTCAGTTCAACAGTTCAAGGAATGCAAAAACTGAAATCTTGCATTGCATTTCTGCGGACTAATTTTGAAGGCCCCCTACCAACTAGAACAAGCCTATAGACTATTAAATCGAACATCAATAAATTATACAAACGCATTCCGCTAGCGAGTAGCTGCACAACACAAACACCATTTTTCATTTACTTCAAATTTAGAAAACCATCTCAATGTGTTAATGTTCTTGTTTACCTCAATCCATTTAGTTCGAGTATGTTGGATACCTCACGTATTTTAAAATTAGGGAAATGCTATGTATACACCTTATGGTGTACACAATGCATTACACCCCTCTCACATGGAGAGGGGGTCCACGAATATTTTTGTGTGTGTGGGCCCTCCTCAATGTGAGGGGGGTGTAATGCTATTTGTACACCATTGTGTACACATAGCATTTTCCTTAAAATTAAGAGCCAATTAGATAGGTGAACATTTATTTATTTATTTTCCAAAACAGAATCAATCTAATAGCTGTATGTCTCCCAATTCTTCTTCCTTTGATTACAGTATCAAACATAACAATAAATCCCAACCAGCTCAAATAATTAAACTTGACAAAAACCAAAACTAGTTAACATAAGCACAGAAAATAATTGAAGACTCACAAATGGCAAATCCTCCCAACAATCAACCCCAGTAGTCCTCTGGCCCAAATCCAAATGTGGGCAAGCGCAATTACCTCTTATCAATCATGCTACACATCTAGGCTCAAATCAAAATGGGACACGTGTCGACGCATGATTGGACAGTTTGAAAAATTAAAACAAAAATATCTAATCATTTTCTGAAATATCAGTCTGCTTCTTCACTTCCTGTTTTTAAGCCTGGCTTAAGTGGCTTTATTCTTCTTGTTACACAATGTTTCAAATATATATATATATATATATATATATATATATATATATATATATATATATATATATAACCAAAATAAATTGTTTGAATTTAAAAAGCATCTTAATCATATTATTCATCATCTTATAATGAATGTTGATTTGTTATTTAACAAATGAGTAAACTAAATTTAAAATATTTACTACAAAAATTGAGGCATATGGCAGAGTCTGGTGGTGGTAGATTTTTGGAAAATAGCGGGATTATCACATTATATAGCAGTGGCAGGTGGTGGTGGATTTTTTGGAAATACTGTGGTTATCACATTATAAAACCATCATATATACGCATATAATAGGACTGATCATACTATGGATAGAAGATCAGTCCTAAAGCATAAAAACTCACACTATGTGATATATAACTAGATTTAAGAAGCATTACCACTAATTTACAGAAAGAAATGTCAATTGAACTTCAAACCCTCAATTGGGTATCAGTAAGATCAGTGTACAAATTTCTCCAAGTCTAATCCATGGAATCGAAACTTGGAGCATACCATCCTAACTCGTTCATGATCTTCATCATTCTTTCTTCTTGACCTTTTGAGTCCCCTAAGGCTGTTGTGAAAGGATATATGTACGTTACTTTGGAAGCCATAGCTCGATATGCAACTACATCTCCATTCACCAAAAATTCAAGAACATCTCGACCAAATCCTCCATCTACCTCAGCTTGCAGATACTGCCCTGGATTTTTTCCTATTATTAGTAAAGATTTCGAAGACAAAGACAGTTCACTCACTCTTTATCAATTGTAGCTCTTCATCAAAATCCAAAGTTTTCCATATCAAAACGACAAATCAACCATTTTCCATATAAACATGGGCAGCTAGTTTGGCACTTATTAAATGGAAGTTCACACCCACCTATTGATCGAAACTTCGAGTATTAAGTTGATCCACAATCTCTAAAAGGAACAAATTAGTCATCAACAATTTATTCAACTTGCACTATCCGTTCAAATCTCTAACCTTTTTTTTTCACTTTTTTCCATTTAAATCTCTATTAAATTGTCACGTGGCCCTCACATGTCCAACTTTAAGAAGTTAGGTTCTGTTTCCAAACTTGGGTTGGTGCCTAGAAATTCGAAATGACTTGGACGAATTTGATGGTTGAATGGTTGAGGACCAACTCGCTCCCTTTTAAAGATTGAAAATTAACTTCACCTCAAATTATAAGTTAGCACGCCCACCATACAATTTTGCTCAATATTAATTAGTCATGCATTGTCAGGATATACTCGTATACACTATGTCCATGATTATGTTTAGGATCCTTACCATTTGGTGTGTCTTCAACAAGCTGAATCTTGACATTTTTCTGGGTTTTAAGAATTGCATCTTGCAATTTCTGATATCAAAATGGAGTAACTCGTAATTCTCACAAAAGGCTAACAAAAGCACAAAATAAGATGTAAAATTTTCATGAATGTATAACCTGAATTGCATTATCTGAAGAATTCTCCGGTATGCTCCAAGGAAATGCAAAAGACGATGATTTGGGATTAGTTGATACACATCCGGGATTTATTGAGGGGCAAGGTCTGATTTTTCTGCAATAGAAGAGCACTCATAATGTTAGAAGATATAATTAGCCCTTGTTTGAGTCCCATTTTTCCACCAAAATACATTTTTCAACAGTGATTTGACACCATTTCAACCATATATTTTTCAATAAAATAATATTATACGCAAATCAAAAACTTTTTCTTATTTTTTAACCACACATTTCCCATCAATACACTATCAAAAATTCATTTTATCCTCCAAAATGGAGCTCAAACAAGGGCTTAATATCACTTTGATTTTACGCAAAATAGTTGCTTGCTGCATATTAAAAAAATTAAGTGGAACTAGCATAATCAGTAAGAAAATAAGTCATCTGGCATGGCCACCAACAAATTTTACACTTTCTGCTAGTTTAGCAGCAGGACTTTTGATTTTGCTTTTCTTGTAGAAAAGCATAAACAGCTTTTGACTTTTCAAAAGCCAAGGGCCCTTCTTTTACTCAAAACAATCTTATACTTAGCAAGAACAATATGAATCATTTCAAAACAATAATCTAGCGGAAAGTTATGGCTGTATTTGGTAGCATTTTTGGGCTCCAGAATTACAATACAGAAATGATTCACTCACTTGAAAGATGGGCAATAAATATTCATTTAGATCTCATCTTCAACATAAAAATATAAAAATAAAAAGCAGAATACAAATTTAGCTATCCCAACAATGAAGACAAATGAATTCTGCTAAATGCCCTTTCGAGTTTCAAGCAAAAACAGCAATTAACAAGGCAAAATACACCAAAACCAGTATAAGGACTGAAAATATCACAACATTAGCTAAATAATAAAGAATTGAATGAAACCACAAATAAACAGATAATAAGAAATAGTGAAATACCCATTATCCAACCCAGTAGGCAAGTTCTTGGCCTGCGAAAATGGAGTGGAAGGAAAAGAAAAAGGTTGAGAATTAAAAGATGGGATGGCTAAAGTGGGTAGTGGAGTAGAGAGGGCCAATACAATGGCGATAGAGATAATGTTGTTGGACCCAAAAATTGATTTTGTATTCGCAAAATTATTATTATCAGAATTCTGTAGAATTTTACAACTGATAAAAGTGGGAGTAGTTTCCTTGCCGCCATTGGTGGAGCTTGGTTTGGGAATGGAGATTGAGGGGAAGTAGTGATGGAGAAAGTGTCCACTCGATACCGGCATAGCTGTTAAAAAAAATAAAATTCCCAGAATCTCGATTCCTTGGCCGCAAAGTCGCCTATAAGCCAATTTTTTTTTTTTCCTTTTTTTCTTTTTTTGGGTCCATTTAAGTCCCAACCTTTTTAAGAAGAGTAATGTTATTCGTAGTAAAGACGGTCAGTAGTCGTCCTATGTGACTTATACTTGACAATTTGGTATTTGATACATAGATATGATAGTTATTTTTTGAAATATACATCAAATGAAAAACTGTCAAGTGTACGTCACATAAGGTGACTGCCGATAGTTTTCACTGTGAATAGCATTATTCTTTTAAGAATCACGCTACATGTACAAACTTTTTTTTACGAATTCTCTTACTCACTACTCACAATGAAGGTGGGGACCACAAGTCGAAATTTTTTAAATTCACATGGAATTCACTAATTTTGTGAGAGTGAGTACACTATTTTATCAACAAGATTTTGAACAAATATCTTTATCCCCTTTTTAAATAGTCTGACACATAATGCTAACTAATTTTATTAACACCATCATCCCCGACCTTTCAGAAAATGGGCAGAGTTAGTCCCGTCTGATAGAATCCCTCCTGCGTGACTGTTACGATCGCATAATACCTTTAACCCATTGACCCCAATCATCTTGTTCCTTCACCTCCAACCATTTTCAATCCGCCCTTTAGAATAAAGAAAGTAAATAATTATAGAATAAAATAAACACGTTCAATCAAGTGTCGATATGTCCGAGTGGTTAAGGAGACAGACTTGAAATCTGTTGGGTTTCGCCCGCGCAGGTTCGAACCCTGCTGTCGACGCTAACTTCTTCCATTTTTGCCTTGCTTTTACTTTTTGACAGTTTTGTATTGCTGGGGCACTCATTTTGGACCGAAAAATTATCCTAATAAATTTCAAATTTAGATTTAGTAAAACTTTAACAAACAATAATTTTTGTTCACTCTAATATTGGCAAAAAAAAAAAATGGAATTTTGCTATTTGTACATAAAAAAATATACATAATAGATTACATAATATGACGTGGAGGTAAAAAATTGGATGAAAAGTTAATTGTATTCTAAACTGACAAATGATAGATAATCATATCTCATTATGTAATCCATTATGTAAATTTTAATATATATGTAGTAAGATCCAAAAAATTGTCCATATGATTTTGAATCGTGGGAAGAGTAAATTATTTTGACATGTTTTTTATTTTCGTTTAGACAGAATAACCAATAAATTTTATCACAAGCTCTATTACTTCATCACGTTGAGTTTTATTTAAATTAAAAGTTTATCTATTATAAGTATAAAAGTTTTAAAATGAAAAAGTCAAAAGGGCATGGTAGAAACTATGTAGAAGCAAACTACCCAAGGTTCTTTAATAATTGAAAATGGTGGAATTTTTAAAATAATTTTCAATTTTTTGGGCGGGGTCATCCCTTCCGATGGTGGCCGGCCTGTCATAACACCTACCCAAAGTGGGTCTCAAGGTTACTTTTCGTCTAAGGTCTCTATAACACTTTCACTAATAACAATTGTTAGATAATGGAAACCATCCTTAACTTCATATGGCTCTTATGACGCATAAGCCCCATGCCGGTCTTATACGGGATCATATAGGAGGACTCCACGTAAGATGAAGACGTAACAATAATCTCTCAAGTCCAAGGGTTATTATTTATGTTAAGCTTTAGGACTTCTCCTTTGTTTTGATTTGTTGTGTTATATGCTAGAAGTCCATCCGCTGTATGTTGCGTTTCATCCTTAAATTATATACCAAGAGTTCTCATGCCTTGCTAAATTTTGTTAGGCTGGATTCATTTTGTGAGTCCCCTTTCTTTAATGCATAGGCTTCATATTAGCTAGAGTCGCACATTATCAAATAAGGGTCACTCGCTTCGAAGTAGACCGCTCTTGTTTAAGCTGTACAAAAATAAATAAAAGTGAAGAGCCTTCAGATATTGTCAATCCACATACTGTTGAATTGCAATCCCAAGTCCAGAAATTGATCGACGTACAAAACAGCTAACAAAATCCCGACAATTCCAGACAATATACATGTTAATAGACTCAATAAAGGACCCATGTCGACTCAAATTGGACAGTAACCAGATTTCAATGTCAACAAACGCAACAATGAAACAATAGTACAATACAAGTCTGAAAATTTTCAATGTTAGTTGTGTCAAACTGCAAAGACGGTTCTTATTTTGATCAAACGCCAAGAGAGAGAAGCTTGGACTGAAATAATAATAATGATAATAAAATAAAAATTGTAATTCGTTTATCGGTAGGAAAATATAATTACAATGTACTAAGACACTTATTCTAACCTATTTCTGAAGCCTTAAGTCTGAAAGAACGGAACCAGAGACCGCATTAGTCGAGCTCGATTATGTTCATTTACTGTACAAATCATGAATTAGGAAGACAAAAAATCTATAATTAAGAAACAAGAAAGCAAAATGTGATGGCATGAGAACAATTTCACCAAAGGACTTCCATCTATCATTTTTCTGAACTTGATAGTGAAAAAAACAGAACAATATAAAATCGGTATCCAATTGCATTCTTTTATTAGGGGAACTTCATGAAAATACGATTTGTACATTGAAAATGACTTCATATTCCAGTTGTTACACAGCACGAGTGATGAAAAATCAGACTTTACTCAGGCAAACTTAACAGAGCGGGCACAAAAATTTACCTTCCCTGTATATAAGTAGATCTACAAAACCAACGTTGCAACCTGATCACCAGTCAATTCGACTGGGCTTTCAAGATTCGAAAACTTTGATGGGAAATCTACAAAGTGAACTTGGTTATAAATTACTCATAAACAATTAATTCCCAGCTCGCCTCAAGAATGTTAATACACCTAAACCGGCAACTAATGCAGCCCCGGCTGCCACAGCACTATATGCAGAAGCCCATGAGTCTGCTTGAGCATATTCAAGACTTCCAGAGTTTGAACCCCTCCTCCGACTAGGGGTCCTTGAATAATCTAAATGCAATCTCAATCCCTGTTCAGGTGAATTACCAATATCATTAGTAATTTATTTTACACATGGATACAGAGTGGGAAAGACAATGGAAAGTAATAGGACATTCAACTATGAATCTCCAACTGCAAAAGTATTCAATTACTAGAAATTCTCTTACTTCGTTCAAATTCTTTTCCAAAAGAGAGAAAACATAAAAAATAATAATAATAAAATAAAATAAAAAATTGATTGAAGGCAATATCAATACCTTCCAACCAGCTTGCTTTGCATGGTCTACAGCTGCTTGAAGATCACTATCCGATGCTAGCACTACCTTGTCATGGTCTTCATCTTCGTACTGCAGGACAGTGGTCAATCCATAAGCATAAAAGTTGGCAAGAAGAAAAAGAAATAAGAGAGTAAACAGCTACACCACAGTATACCAGAATCTGTGGAAGGTTGTTACGATCAATGTCGTACCCTACTCTCTGAAGAATTGCAGTTATGAGGTCCGTCAAATTTCGTGCATCTGATTTCAGAAACAGCAGTAAATTGTCATGAAAAATTATTTCTTTTCTTTGATATAAAAAGTAGGTGATAAAAGTTGAACAGTGTCAAAATACACGACAAGGTTACTTCAACTGTACTGCTTCAGCATGATGTGTGGTGAACATTCATACTAGGTTAATTTCCTTCTCAGAAAATTATTATTTTTGCAGTACGAGGACGGAGGACATGTAATTTTACAAATGACATGAATAAAATGAGCAACAGCTAATCTCAAGTCCACGACTCAGATTATCAGGAAAGGATGTCCATGCTAATTTGCAATGTGGCAATTGGACGGAAAACTGACCTCATATTTTTGCAGTAAGTGTGACTCACACGCAATGTACGTTGAAGATTAATTACTCAGAAGATCAGTTCGCGTTAGAAGAAGAAAAGGAAACATACCACAATTAAACCGATGCATTCTTCCCTTTTTGTCTTGAATCTTGAAAGCAAAAGTATAGGGAGCACTAGACAAAGGATATGAAAGAGATCGACCTGTTTCTGCTCCTTCAGAAGCCATCTTCAAGGAATTCTCACTGGAAATCATCTATACATGTTAGAAAATATCAAGGAATTGAGAACTACATTAAACACAGAAAGTAAAGCCTATAACCTTCTTGTCTCTTCCTCATCATCAGGAGTTAGGTCCATGGCAGAATCCCAGAACCTTTGCATCATATTATTTGCAGCCTCGCTATTGACTCCAGCAGTATTTCCAACCTAGCAAAGTACAGGTCAGAACATTAAACCACAAATACTCATGATACACTCAATTAACATATTTTGATGTATGCTTGCAAATTAAACAGATGTGACCCCTTAAAGTATTATTTTGGCCCCAAAAGACTTAAATTAATGGGGGGGGGGGGGAGTTGGTTACCTTCTCCACCAAAGTGGAATCAGGTGGAAGATCTTGAGCTATGACTCGCATCAACATATCCTTTGAACTGAAATAGATTTACATTGTGCAATCATTCTATTAGTAACAGCACATTTAAGAACAAATACTACAATTTGTATGATTTTAAATTCTGATGCAAATATACTCCAACATGAGAGGATACTGACGTTAAAATTCCCCTTGGCTTGTTTTCTACTGTTACAATGGCTGAGCTTGTTCGACATTCAAGCATCTTTTGTGCAGCCACTAGAACAGTATCACTTGGAGCAACTGTAACAATCCTGACAAAATCATGATAAGAGTAATAAGATTATATAAGTGACATCGATTGTCATTGTAGAAATGCTAGAACTAAATGTGGAGATACTACCGACTTTGAATTGTCGGAAATTATTGTAGATAAAGAGGGCTTAAACATTCTCTCTCGTAGTGTTTCAATGAACGTATTAGGACCTACATATCAACCAATCATAACTTGTATCACATAAAATGACCAGTAAATTAACATAAGAATGATAAACTGTTACTTTTGAAAAAATAAGAATGATAAACTGTTACAGAAGGGTAGCATATAAAAAGGCAAATGTGGAAAGGAACACTGAAAGTAAACAT